AAATCTGATGAAATATTTACATTAAAAGAATCATTAACAAATAATCAGTAAAGAATTTAAATAGAAAATTCGAATAAATGTTTTTTTTTTGTTTATTTTGCTTCTTTATTTAGAAATGATAATGATGATATTCTTTCATGTATTGATGTATCTGATCAATTTCGTTTGAAATTAGATTCTCTTCTTAAAGAATTTATTGAATCAAATGATACATTAGAACCATTTATAATACAACGTCAAAATTTTTCAGATACAGAATTTTATTATATTGAATTACTTGCTAAAAGTAAACAATTGAATATTAATCGAATTAATGATGATACTATTCATATTACCAAGTAATCTATTATAGAAAAATCATTCGTTTTGTCAATGATTTATTCATAAATAAAGTAATTGTCAAAATTATACAGCCAATAATTTATTTTATAATATAAAACCGATGAAAAATATAAGATGAATATATTTTTTATTATATTCTAAAATATCAAGCATTGAATTCAAAATCCAATAATGACTTGAATAGCTAATGAACTTGTTTATCAAATACATACTATATCGAAATGTTATAGATGGACTACGAGAGGAAGATTTCTCGAAAATTTAAAATGGTAATTTTCAGATCGTATACAATTGGGCGAAAAATTCGTTTTTAAGAATACTATCTTGAAGAGCACAATATCTTGAATAAAATGATTAATTGCCGTGTTTTCTACGAGATCGCTTTAAAAAGTTATAAGTATCACAAAAAAAGAACTTCGAAATTCATAATAGCATTGCTAAAAAAAGGGCATTTTTTGTTTTCTGTGATATTTGTAATTGTTTGAGAGAATGTGTCATTCTTAAAAACTAATTTTCATTCAATCTTTTAGGACATAAAAAACTATCATATATAGTTCTTTCGAAACCTTTCTATCATAGTCTATCTATGAAATTTTGATATAGACTGCATTTGATAGAGAACTTCATTGACTACTGAAATCATTATTTGGATTTGCGTTAAATGTCTGGTATATAATTAAAAATATGTTTGTTTTATATTATTGATTAGTACTATATTGTATGAATATCTCAAAAACAAGATGAACTAGAATGATCTGATTTTCATCAGATTATATTCCATAGTCTGTAGTATACTAGTAAAAAAATTTCATGTCAATCCATTGATCTTGTTAGTTTTTATTGGTAATGCAATCGCAACATCTCGTTCTTTGTCCGCTCACAAAATTATCCAACCACTTATTTTTGTCAACTGTTGTAACAATGTTTTTTTTGACCGCTGCCGGAAACAAAAAGACATTCTTCATATGAAGTTTAGCCAATTCTATTGTTTAATATTTCGGTAGCAAGAATATTACGAATTGCACAATATATTCTATTTGAATAGATATTCCATGTTGGTAAATTGTATTGGTGATCTGCAACGTATACATCAATCATAGATAGACTTTCTTGTATGGTCTTATTCACACATTGAAGGAAGTATGAAGCATTGTTTTAGCAGGATGGATTTGCACGGAATCGTTTTCGATAGAAAAATCTTATATTTTTTCAATCAAAATCAATTATATCACTTAAGCTATATGTTCTTGTTAACTTATAAATATCAGAAGTAAAAAACTTAACGTAAGCTCAGTAACAGATTCGATATGTATCGTACCAAACAAAGATGTATCAAATGAAATTGAACATAGGACGTTGTTCTAAATTTCATCCTCGATCTACATAGACATGACACGCAAAAATTAGCAATGTTTTCAATGAGATCTGCACTTAGGTTGTGGCTTCGATGATGGTAGGTTTTCTACTTTTGATATTTATAACGTAAGAAGAGTATAAAACTTAAGTGATCTAATCGATTTCGACTTTAAATACAAGAGTTTTCTATGTAAAAAGATTTCCTATAAATTCAAGCTGTTAAAACAAGTTTTTATACCTCCTTCAGTACGTAAATACAAGAAAGTCTATTGTACATGAAATATCTATTCAAATATAATAATTAATGCAATTTGTAGTGCTCTTCCTGATTCTTTATTGAACAATAAAATTGGCTAAATATCATATGAAAAAAAAAACTAATCATTTGTTTCACTTGTTGAAAATAATTTCCGGTATCGGTAGAAGAAAACATTGCTTTTAAACCCATACTCAAAGGTAAGGTACAATAAAAAAATACTCTTTACGTAGAATATAATAGATTCATGTATCATAAAGAAAATTTCAATTTAAAATAGGTGCATAACAATTTGCAAAAATAAGTGCTTGAATAATTTTCAAAGAATAAAAAATGACATACGACGATTGTATTGCCAATAAAAATAAACAAGATCAAGGTGTTGGTACGAAATTTGTTTACTGGTATTCTACAGACTATGGACTGTAATCTGATGAAAAACAGATCATTCTACCTCATGTAGTTTTTGAATCATACGCAAAATAAAATAAAATAACCTACTGATTGGATAATTTTGACAGTCACTGTATGTCCTTCAGGATTTTGTATGTTTGTACAGAAGAAAAAAACAAAATTGTTATTTTTGTCTTTCACTTGTGTTGTTTTTTCGGTTTCTTAGTTTTTTTTTCAATAAAAGAACATCGAAATGAATTAAAATGTAGGAATAATGGCAAACCAATTTGTATCTATATTGAAAATCACTTCTATTTAACAAAAACAAATTTGGGCTTTTATCAAGTCATAGTCAATATTAGGAAGTAACCAAGGTAGTAGCTGCTGATAAACATAGAGAAAGAAAAACATACCTGACTTTATCCAACTCGTCATGATTTTTACCTATGGAAAGAACCCAACAGAAATAAAATTCTACCCTTTTTCCAACTTTTGAAAATGCCAACTTCCGTATTTGTCACTGCCGTGCTGAGTCACACGAATATTTGTTTATGTCATCATTCATGTATAAATAGATGAAAATTATTAATAAGTAAGATCTCATTGCTCACATCAATAGTCAACATTACACGATAAAGGTAAGAAACGATATTAGTTGAAATTTTTATGTAATCAATAGATAATCAAAGTTAATCATTTGATGAATATATATTGTTGGCAACATTAAAATTTGACTAAAGATAAATTCATAAAATCAAAACAATTAAAATCTGAATAGAATAAAACAGTATTTTGTAGCACACCTGTTTTTACAATCGAATGTGCGACCAGTTGTTGAATTTAAATTCAGTTATTTTTTTTTTCATTAGAGTGTAACATGTACATCTATAGTTATAGTGTTTTTCATTTCGTTCTACATTTAGTAAAGTACATGATTGTATAAATTTATCTTTAGTCGAATTATAATTTTGCCTATAACATATATTAATACCTTAAGAAAATTATGACATTCAGTTTCCTCAGATTGAACTTTTTGAGTAATCTATTTCAAATCTTTCATTGATTTTATTGTTGAATTCCAACTTTAGAAAAATGTTTCTTTACAAAGAAAAACCTTTCATAATTAATTAATGAAAAAAATTAGAGTTTACAAATTAAGTATAAAAAACAGGAATTTTAGGGTTTTAATAGAGTTCATAACGATTGGAAAATCAAAGAAAGTAAAACAGTATTATTTTAAAACAGCTCAAAATAGGAATCTTCGATTTATTCGAAGGATTTATTAGAGCAACTAGGTTTTCAAGTTTTAGTCACAAGTAGAAATGTGTAGGACGAACTTTAGTTCCGATCCTAGTGATTAAAACTGGAACTGAATCTACAAAAAAAAAGTTCTCCAAAACGGAACTAAAGATTATAGTTAAATGTTCTATGTCTGTCAGACGAATTATTTTATAAATCATACCAATCAAAGCACAATTCACTATATGTGACAAAAGAAAGCATTGCTCGTCGACTAGATATATCACGAAACGAGCATTTAAGAATCTTTTTACATGTAATATCAATAAATTCTGGAATAGTTTTCTCTCGATCGTCGGAACTGGCACCAGATCAAATTTACTGAAGTTATAATCGAGACCACTGAAAAAGAAGCTACTGAACCGGACCAGAACTAGAGCTAAAAATAAACTTGGATCCACACATTTCTATCCGTAAGACTTCAGATTATAATCTTGTATATATAGATAGATATATGCAGATAGGATAAATGTTTGATTAAAGAAAAAATATTTTACATAAATATATTTCATTCAATGTAGAACAATCAATCATGGATTCCGATAACAATGAACAAGGTTATCGTTACGAAAAAGAAACATTTAATCATGCTAGTGATGATGATAGTGAGTAGATTAATTAGTTATCTGTATAAAACTATGTTTTGTATATTTAATTAGAAGCCATCGAAATGATGTCATCAACAGACAACAAAGTAAGCTAGTTGAAAATATCAGATGAATTTCATTTTTATTTTCTTTTCAAAGGATGATCAGTCATCAGATACTTCAGGGAATAGCAGCACTGGAAGTAACAAGGATGATTCTTAACAAGCCAGAATGATAATAATAAAATGGGTAACAATCAAACTGAAGTATCTATCACAAAAATTACGTAGTAACTATTACAGACAACAATTAAAGAGAACAAATGTTGATACAAAGAATATGTATATTTTTTTTAATAAAAATAAAAATGAAATATTTTAATAATAATTTCAACTAAATGACCCACTGAATCAAGATGGTGTTCATTTGAAAATAAATTCGTTTTATTCAGAAATGAAAAAAAACAAGGGGTAAACAAACTTAACTGAAAAAAATGGACAATAAGAATTTTTCTATATATATATATATTGTAGTCAAAATTAAAGTTCAATCGAATTTAAAATTTAACTGAATTTTCTGGACAAATTTTAAATTTGACTGAATTTTAATTTCGATCACAACATATATATATATATATATATAATGATATTCGAAATGAATAACATATTGTTTGCTATCACTCAATAAGTCGGTGTTGATAGGTTTTTAAAGGTAAGGGGTAAATATGGGTTGTGAAGTTATTGGATTTGAAAGATGTAATGTTGCATTTATGCGCTATCATTGTCGTCTTCATCATCATCATTATCAACAGATCCATAACCGCCGCTGTTTTTGTCGCCATTTTCATCATCGCCGCCGTTTTCATCATCGCCGCCATTTTCATCATCGCCGCCGTTTTCGTCGTCATTTTCATCATCACCCTCGTCATCCTCAGTACCTAGTTCATCATCATCATTATCATCGGGACCGTTTGTGTCCGCTTCTTCATCTGCTTCATCATCCAATGTTTGTCCAACATATTCGGGATTTTCAGGCGATGCTAAACTGCTAACATCCTCTGGCTCAACTAACGCTGAACTTGTGTCGGAATCATCAGCAAAAGTTGCTAATAAAAGTAAACTGATGAAAAATAAACCGATCATATACTTCATGGTGTCAGTTGATTGATATGTTGATGTTTGAATAAAGATAAAATTTGAGAAACTAATGCATTTTAATATGGGAATATGCTCTATTTAAAGTGCATCATAAATAATAATTGCCACTTACAATATAATATTAGATACTTAGAATTGTTACTTATCATTCACTTTTTTTTTCTATTTAATTAAGAACACATCTGGTTATAATGGATGGAAATATTTTCGTACTTAACATAGGTCACAACTGTTTTATGTCATTGTCTTTACACACAATAACTAAGATTATGAATGTCATTTGAGAAAAAATAAAATGAACTGCATATACTTTTGTCATCAACTGCTTTTACGCATTTCTTTTCTCATATAGTTTGAAAAGGACATTCACGACACCATGAAAAAAAAACGATATTTATATTCGTACGAGAAACGAAAGTGTTGAGTAAACAACAGAAATGACAACGTTATTTTATTTGCATTTTTTTTGTGACTTATTGGAACAATGTTTTTATAGCAAAAATCAGGTTAAATAAGTCAAAAAAATCTATAAGAACTGGTATACGTCCAAAAACATCAAGTTTTGCTAAGCTTTTGTGTCATTTGAAACAATCATCATATTTATAATTAACACAAAAATAATCTGCATTGAATAGTATACTCAATATTTAAGACAAGTTTTCGTCAAATTGCGACTTTGGTAGAACAACGAATTAGATGATTCAAAAAAAAACAATGAAGGAATGAAAAGACTGAAAATTTGTTTTAAGTATTGAGTATACTATTCAATGCAGATTGTTTTTTGCTGATTCTGAATATGATGTTTATTTCATTTGAAATAAAAATTTAGCAAAACTTGATGCTTTTGGTGTATTCGAATTTTCACAGATTTTTCTTCGGATTTATTTTAAATCTAGTTTCACTACTGGAACATTATTCGAATATTTTTAGAGATAACTAAATGAGTTCCATTCAACCATATGAAAAATCTATCAATAAAAAAAACTTTTTGCTCGGATTTTGAATCGTCGACATCTTTGCACGAAGCAATTCAATAGTCATCAAAACAGTCGGTAAACATGAATGGTAATAATTTTAAAAAATATGCAATGAATTGTTGATATTCCATATCATTTAGAATTACAGTAAGTGATATGTGTGATGTAGTATATAATAGTTTTCTTCATAATCAATTACTTAATTCAAACGATCATACTCCAATTGGAAGACTTCAATATATAGTTCAAGGAATAGAAGAATTTCTTATCAAAACAAGTGAATAAGACTGAATGCAATAATTAAAAAAAACACTAGTAAATTTTCATTCAGGTTAATAATGATTACAAACATCTTTATACTCTATATACCATTTTATATATAGATCAATAAATAATAATCATCCAATGTTTCAATTTCATGATCGGCAAGATATTAATGGAATTTTTTTAGAAAATTTACTAGAAAACAATTAATGAAAATCTTGATGTTAAAGCTTTTTTGAAATCAGAAGAAGCTATGCTGAATTTTTTATGGATTTTGTAAGTTTTGATTCTTTGTAAAATGATAAAAGTTCATTTTCGTGACAGTATGACATGTACATTGTCAGTAGTCAGGTAAACAAACTCAAGAAGAACACCCTTGTGCACTTTCTGATGTCTTTCATTCATGATAATTTTCATCTCGGAGAAATTAAGACATTATCTTGGCTAAAATTATATAGACAGTTCTTTCAAAAAACAAAAAAATAATCGTTCATATCGATAGAATATGGCTCGCGGATCCCAGTCATATGATTGAAGTTCATTATTAATTGTAATTTGGTGGTGTAGAGTAGGCCTTTTGGTGTTATATAAGAAATTCAGCATCTTTTCTTTCGATTTTAAATAAATGGCAGCAAATATACAGTCAAAAATAGGACATTATAGATTGTTAAATTATGAGCTTTTCCACTCACGTTGACTCAGTAAATAGATGATATTCAATATTTTCAGTAGCTCATCTTTTATTGAGCTATTAATGTTCTATCTTTTGATATGTTGTATGAAGAAATTTATTCGTCTATAGAAGTATAATCTTAGTAGATATTTATCCTTATTTTCTTGTTAGCAGGTAGATAGTGTTGAAAAGTCAATTAAGGGTAACTTTACTATGAAATATTTCAATGAGCTAAAAATTTAGGATTGATGATTTTAGATAATGATCTTTTGAATGTACATTAATATTCAAAAATTTAAATTTGATCGGTGCTTCAGCTCCCTTCATGAATGCTCTGTTATATATTACACAGGAAGCCATAGAATTGAATTGTCTTAGATATTCGATATCTCAAAAAATACATTCGTTCGAGCTGAAATATTTAAACCCCTCCCCGCATTAGAAGACCCCTGGTCTTCTATTATGTGTCGTCGTAAAAATGTTTTAGAGGGGTCTTCTATTGTGTCCTAGGTTTTTTACCAATTATTAACTGAAAGTAGTTTTCCAGAAATCCGAGATGATTTTCAGGATTCTCATAGGGATTTTCACGGCTTTGAGGGTCGACGGATACATTTGGACTCATTTTCTAAATATTACCAGCTGAAGAACCTAAAAACTGTGTATTTCTGGACGGAAATTCCCTAATTAAATTTCCTAATTAGCAAATAATTAATTAATTAAAGGGAGGTCTTCTAATACCCCCGATGAACTTTTTGTCCAGGGGGGTCTTCTATTATAGGGGAGTCTACTAATATGGGGGGGGGGGGGGTCTTCTAATACGGGGAGGGGTTTAGGATATTGTAGTGATCGTGAGACATCTGTCTATGTGCAAAATTTCATATAACAATCTTCTAATTCAGTTTTTCATGAATAGTTGGCCCAGAAGGCAGAAAAAATACTAAAGCGATTATAATTTTCACCTGATAATGCATGAGTACGAATCTTTTTAGGGTTACCTTATTTTCACTAAGTCCTACTCATGGCCAAAATGTGAAGTTGAACAGTGTTTCGACAATTGGATATGTTTTCTCGCCTGTATTAATGATACTGACAGAACAGAATCTACTTCTACTGGAAAATCATTTTTTTTCAATCCCATATTTGAATATCAATATTTTGCAAAAGAAATACGTACAATGAGTGTCATATCATCATGAACAAGAAGACATATATGACTTCAATCAAGAATCGAAAGAAAATTGAACAAAAGATAAACTAAAACCAAAATATTAGATCTTCAATCACATTCATCACTGACACTCGACAAAAAAAACCAATCAAGAACTTAACGAAATAAAATTTCGATTTTCAATATTCTATTAGATCTGAATGAGAACAACTAACATATTCATTAAGATAGTAATACAATAGAATTTTTTTTTTTCATCTATTTTCAGAAATGCCCATCCGAACAGAAAAAAAGCTCACCACAGATTTCAACGTTCTTAGAACCTGTTGTTACACTATTACATAAATCTCGACCAGATCTTCAGAATCTACCCTTGTACACCTACTTGCATAAGGAGAAATCTTACGAAAATTATTGTCTACATGAAAACTTTTTAATTTAAAAAATTTGTTAATAAAGTTTTTCTTTTGTACTAACCAAAGTACAAAGTTTAGGTCTCCCCTTCGACATACATATATCCTATATTACATTTTGTTTTACGTTGTTGTGTCTTTCAAATGTGAGCAATATCAGATCATTACATGTATCTGTGTCACCATTCAGGTTAATCTTTATTTTGTCGTTCCTATTAAACTTAACAAACTGTCTGTGACTAGCCGCAACCGAACCTTCAAAGGCTTGGTAACAATTTCGTAAACTTGGTTAACCTGTTCATCCTCATTCTCAGCTGTAAATTCCTATTCTCAATCTGACCTATCACTCTAATTCTTATCTTCCGTCGTTTCACCACGATTGGAGACCAATCTTTAACATGAAAACTTTCATGCCTTGGTTCAGTTGTAACATATCATTTCTGGAATGACCAAGTAATTACTAAAACTATCATTATTATTCGATGATTAATGAAACTAATGTAGTTTTTACATAATGTTCATTTGAGTATATAGTACCCTTGTGTTCTCTCTTGATTGTTTTATATATTAAAAAAATTATTTATTTTATTTTGATGGTAAGAAAAATTTTTGAAGAATTTCTCTTTGTTGGAAGAAATTTTTCATTTTAGCGACAAATTCTGTACCTCTGATCTCAACTATCTTTTTTTTCTGCATTGTTGTCATATCATTTGTATTAAATATCAAAATATATGAAAAAACATAATTCCTATGACTATATCATGCTAATTGATTTTATCATATTTTATTTTTTTAAGTTATCTAATAGGACAAGTACAATAGTAACACATGCAATGAATATTGCTTGAATAAAAAACTGATATACAGTATGTTGCAAAAATAAATGATATCACACGGATGTGACGATTAAAGACATATTCATACTGGCAAGTTTGTCTAATTAATTTTTTTTTTCACATTGTACTAAATTCGTTATGTTTACTTAATCAGATAATGTTATTTTTATATCCATGTTTTTAAGTTTATCTTCATTACGTTTATAAATATCTCGTAAATCTGAATAATGATGATCACGATCACAACCAATTGAAAAATTAGCTGTATGCATACGATGTAAATGTGATACCATTGGTATATAAACACTTAAATGTCCATGAATTAAAAATCTTACATAAAGATCAAGATCTTCTGCCATACCAACTGATTCATCATAACCACCAACTTCATCATAAAGTTTTTTACTAAAACATACATTACCTAAAAAATTCAACAATAAATTATTATAAATACAAAATCTTTTTTTATTTTTCTTTCAATTATTCTTTTCAAAAAATAATGATGGTGATTCTTTTTTTAAATAACTTTCGATAGAAACGACGAAGAAAACTGCGGTTTTCTTCATTTAAAAAAGAACACTTGTGACTAAGTTGAAATCTTATTAGTCATTAGTTGATCAATTAGGTGAGTTATTAGCAAAGATTTTGGAAACGAAATTCTGAAGTTATTTTTCATTAGATTTTGACGTTTAATACAGTCGATCGGTAGCGAAGGTTCTAAAAGAACTGCAAATAAGATAATTCGTCGAGTTGAGTCAAACGGTGATGTTTCTTTTCAGTTTTAAAGTGATTCCAGACCACTATTTAAACTTTTTCGTCATTCTTATCAAAAGTTTTTCAAGAAAATAAATATCAACACTTTCTTTTTGAAATTAATAACAGTACCTTGAATAAAACAACAACTATCAAAAATAGCTTGAAGCATTTCTTGTGGTGATGAAAAAACCCAACCATAATAATCTTCTTTTGGCATATATTGAAGATGTTCATTAACACGAAGAAAATCCGAAATAAAAAATTTTTTTGTTGGATTTCGTAAAATAGCCTGTGCAAAATGATGAATTGTACGTTGAAGGAAAACATCATCATCATCCTAAAAATAAAATTTTCATTCTCTCAATAGAAAAAATTTTTTCAACTTTTATTTTTTTACATACTAATACACAAATAAATTGTCCAGTAGTTTTTTGTATACAAATATTTCGTGCTTGACTTGGTGGTACTTTGTGTTCTGATCGTATAAATAAAATATTATCAGCTAATTCACCTTTACCATCTTTACGCAAATCTTCTGTTGCTTTAATCCATTGTCGATCTTTTGTTGGTTCTTTATTATCACCTTGATCTTTGATATAAAAAATCTTTTCAGGTGGTAAATTTTCAATAAAATATTCTTTTGTACCATCAGTTGAACCACAATCATGAATAACATGTTCAAATTCAATATCAAGTGGTGCAAGAACATTAACTTGAACAGACATTATAGCTACTTTTAAATATTCTAATCGATTATGACTTGGTGTTACAACAGAGATTTTCAATTTTCGACCATCTAGTTGATTCATTTTGAGTGAAAATCAAGTAACAATAATAAACAAAAAAACGTATAAAAGAAACTCTAATATGTGCTTCTCTCTTTATACTAAATGGTTGCCAACAAGGGGCCAATAAGTATGTTCTATATTCTGTGGTAATGTCATTCTCTACACGTGTATTATACACGTGATGTCTGCATAAGAATCGTTGATGTACTGCCGTTAACATACTCTTGTGTTTTTACTGTTTGACTTATATTTTTCGATTAATTATGAAATTATTTAAATGGAATAAATAAATTCATAAATATCTTCACTAGAAAATTAATGCTGTACTAAGGTCGAATTCGATCGACATGAATTGTCACGTGTTATTTTATTCTACCAATCAAAATTTACCACTAAAATGTAGTAAAAGTACATAGTTCTAGTATAATTCATAGAATGAATTATGACCAATATTTTGCACTCATAGTACATAAATTAATTTCAATAATTATTAGCAAGAAATTCATTGTTCTGACCATATGTTTCATCATATTCTAATTTTTATTATCGTTTAGTCTTAATTGTGATATGATTCGTCGAGTATTATTCACCATCGACAGTCAAGTAGATATTTGGTTGGTAAACAGCAGATTTAAAATAAACGTGAGCAACTACATCGAATAATGCATAATTTTTTAGTTTTTTCAAAATATAAAATTTTTCAATAAAAAGGAAGGTTATCGTTAAATGATGAAATTGGTCTTCTGCCGAAATTACACTTCTTCTTGTCCTAATAGTCATTACGACAAATATAGTTTTTTAAAGTTGTTTTCAAATATATCTTGTTTTTAGTTAAAAACTCTAACTATTCTGACCAAAATCGGTCAAATATCAGTCGAAAAGGATGTTTTTTGGCAGTAACGAGCATGGTACGTTTTAATGAAGTGTTTCACCCAATGCAACTGTACGATTTGGTAGAGCTTTGAAAAGGCTATCAAATGATTTATAATTCAAAGTTGATCGCTGCTTTCAAAGTATAACAGAACAAGACATTTCGTCATGAATATCTTCATATTGAATATACCAGAGAATAATGTCAGCTAAAGGAAAAAACAATATTTTGTCCTACACCTTATTGTTTTTCGATAGAAGAAGGAAAGAACTGAAGATAGAAGAAAAGCTTTTCATATGGATAATGCAAAGCACGATGCTGTGGAAGATCAAATAATATCAAGTTTTGAGTTAATCAGTACGCAGTCGGAATGACCTGTAGTCGTCTGATTCGAGCTGCAATTGACTATTAGAACAATAAGAAGCACAATTTTAACAGGGGGAGAGTGAGTTTTACCACTTAATAACACTCTTTTTGAGTAAAGGCTCCTTCAGAGATTTTCCGGAAAAAAAAATTTTGGTTTTGAATTTCATTGTTTATTGTTTTCTGTATAATAGAAACTAATATTTTTGTGGAAAAGAAGTGTGATTTTTTTACAGACAATAAGTCATGTCCATGCGCTCTATGTAAAATGTCCACTATGTTACTTTAGTTTAAATATTTATAACATGACTTCAACAAGGTACAATCATCATTTTTTAATTAGTAGATTTAGATGAAATTGTTTTTTTTATATGTTCCCTATATTTAAATTATCTCTCAAAAATGAATTGAATCTCAATTATCTTTTCAATTAACTACTTTTCTTAACTCAGCATTAACTTTTCCTAGTGGAAATCAAATCTAAAAGTAAGTTTTTATTGCATCGATAAAATATTGTTTATACATATAACAGTGTCATCTGCTAATAAAAAGACTTATGCAAGTATTTTGCACAAGTTCATATGATAGGCGTGATTATTTCATATTGTCATAAGTTGTTAAAGTTGCTGACTGCTGTTTGAGTGTATAGAAAACAATTTGTTATGGACTAGAATTGTAATGCCTTATGAAATTAGTCAAGAATTAAAAAAGAATCTATTATAAGTCAATGTTCGATTAAGATCCAAATATTGCTTTATAATTCTGATAGTGTCACAAAACATACAACTGACCGAAAAGCGAAAGCATAATGAAAAACGTCAAAAAAAAAGAAGGCATTAGCGTATATTTATATACGCATATACATAATGATAACATTTTATTTCCATTTATTCCAATTGAATGTGGTGTATTTCAATCTCCGTATGTTTTTTCTTTGCAACCATGATTTTGTCACTAAAAATAACGAGAACTGAATTCTCTAGTCATCGACAAAGTCGGTTTTATAGATCGTTACAATCAATGGATGATTATGATAATATCGAAAACTTAACTTTACCTTCTACAAATGAAGATCATATATTGAACAATTGTTCATTACAACCGATTAATATCGATACATTGCAGCACAAAATTGAGAGTAATGATCAAAGAGAAAATCAGACTATGATAAGAATGACTTCATCTTGGAAGCAAATCGTAGTAAAAACTGATGATAATCACGATCATAGCCAAGCTGATGATGATGATGATCACGATGATAGCCAAACTAATGAAATAAATGATAATTTAGTATCATTCACACCATTGAATACAATTCAAGTAATATTCACTATTCCTGATATTATAATTTCAAATGAAACAATTCTTAATCAAACAATATTTATTACTGATGTAAAATCTAATCAATTATTAGCATCTTTAAACTATATTTGTTTCAATGGATCATCTTTTATTATTAATTATTCAACAAATAAATCATTACCACATGATGTTTGTTTATATGTTTTAATATCATCTATCGCATTAAAAGAAATCTTTATTTGTCGTACTATTAACAATATATCCAATATTAATAAAGGTCACAGCGATCAATCAAGTAGAGTTTTTATTATTTCACAATGTATTGTAAATTGTCTTATGATGATTATTATATACTTAGTACATATAGGTAGAAAGAAAAATCTAATTAATCGTGTTGGTCAACATTTTTTACATAATAAATTAGTTACACATAAAAATAGTGTTATTATATTTCATGATAGAATAAATCCTGACATTATAAATAATATTCATTTAAATAATTTGATTTCATCACCTATTGAAGAACAAGTATTAGCTGCAAATGATTTAATATCAACACGTAATGATCGAAGATTTACACATCATGCATTAATTGATGTTACAGAATTAACAAAACAAATGAATTTATCAAATAAAAATATAGAATCTAATGCTTTTTAACAAAAAGAAAAAGAATAAATAAATAAATTACTCTTCTTCTTTTGAAACTAATATTTCATTGATACGAACATCATTTAAATTCATTGGTATAGTATTATTTTCAAGAATTTGTTGACGATATGCTAATCCAATAGTATAAAAGTTTCCATTTAATGAATTTAAATATTTATCATAAAAACCTTTACCATGACCAAGACGAGAACCATCTAATGAAAATCCTAAACCAGGTACAATAATAATATCAATATTATCTGTTGCTATTTCACGATTTTTATCATCTAAAGATGGTTGTCGAATATTCCATTTTGTTATAGGTAATGAATCAAGATCATCTAATGAATAAATACGTATCATATCCATTGATGTTGAATTATAACGTGGAATAAAAACATGTTTATTAGATTGGAATGCATGTTGAATTATATCACGTGTAGATATTTCAGTATTCATATGAACATAAATAGATATTGTACGAGATGATTGATATTTGGAATGATGAAGAAGATAATTAGTAACAATATTCGATTGATGAATACGATCTTCATTAGACATCATTTTGAGTATGTGACGAAGTTTTTCACGAAGAATTTGTTTTGCAGCATAAGTCATTATGATGAATTATCAATAGAAAAAATAATCAGTATATTTTCAAGTTTTTGAAATATTCTCTACAATGAGGTATAGAGAAAATTATAGACAGATGTAAAAAATTATCCACCCCACACCCTCCCCGCCATAGAAGATCTCGGATCATCTATTGTGTCTCATTTAATTTTAAAAAAGTGTTTTCAGAAAACCGAAAGGATTTTGAAAAAGATTTTTAAAGTTTTCAATGTTCAGAAATAACATTGATCTGAGTCTTTTAGAAAGTTCTGAACAAAAAATAGTAATATTTTGATGGAAATACACTAATTAAAGTTCCAAATTTTCGAGAAATTAATTAAATAAATAAGGAGGAAGAAGGTTGCTTTTTCTTATGTTTGCATGTGATACAAAAAAAGAGTAATTTAAAAATTAAACGATATCATTTGGTGATAATCTCAAAGTAGAACTGTTTAATAATTTCAGGGTTATATGAATTTAAATCAAGACAAGTTGATATTAAAACTCTAAACAAACAGAATTTTTAGGTTCGATCCAAAAGTTGATCATAAAATCAAACTGATTCGTAATATATGTTCATTTGACAACTCTTCAACTGGTTATTTATTTCAAACTAAACCAAGGGAACTATCCGTTTATAAAAGTATGGTGATGAATTGTTTTTTTTGTTTTGAAAAACTTCAGAATACAAGTAGCTAGAAACCTGTAATTTTCATCATTCAAAAGAACACAGTGACGGGCGTGAAACTACATAAAAATTCATGAAAGTATCCAGTATATTCATCTGTAGTGACTTTTAAATGAATGTCATAGTCTGCCTTAGAAAAACTAATTTTCGAATTTCAACTTGAAACTTTGCATAGTGACAAGTCTTAACAAGAGTGGTTTATTATTAAAGTTTCAAGTTTTTTTATTTACTTCTATTCTGAAATAAGAACGTCGAACCTGTTGTCAAATATGAGCAATGTAAAAGACATGCTTTACTATAGCTGTATCCTAAGATAGGAATAATGGCAGGATCTGAGACATTCACAAGAAACTATTTTCGTTCTATGCAAAATTTCAAGTATAAAATTAACGAATCAGTTTTCTTCAGGGGAACCACGGCATTCATTGAAAAATAATCATAAAAATACAGAATCTCGGCAGTAATAAGTTAATGGTCTGAACTGTTTTCAAAGTATTCATAGCTCATTTGGTTCTAAATAATACACGTAGCCTAGACTCGAAAACAATTTATCAGTTTTGGGACTATCTTCGTTAGTCAAAAGAAATCTTCAGATACTTTTGTTGATAATAGCCGAGCAAATCAGTTTAGAAGAGTATTAATTTAATTTTGCTTCATCTAAATAAATACTAATCAATACATTTTGAACTTTTTTTCGTAATTTTCCATTCATAAACTCAATTGTTAAATTTCATTAAAAATCCAAATAAAAAAAAACATCAAATACTTATAACCATTTAAAAATTTTCTTCCAAAAAGTCTAACTTTATAAACAATAAATATGTTGATTGTTTCTTTTTATATCCAAAACTTAATATACAAACATATGACAATCAAGAAAAAAAGAACAAACAAAAATCGATGCTGAATATATTCATTCAGCTAATTTAGATACATCTTCATAAACCATATTTTCAATTCGAGCACCAATCATTGAACCCTAAAATAAACAATTTGAATTCTAATAATAATAATAATAAATATAATTTGAAATCTAACCGTTAATAAAGTAATATCAACAGAAAATGTGTCTTGATGAATATCTTCTAAAGTTGCTTCTTGTCCACGATATGCACCATTAACAACTAATATTTTTTTACCAATAGCTGGTATAACTGTTTCAACATGAGCTTGATCAATACGAATTTTATCATTTGTATCAATCATTTTAATAATAGCTTGATAACGATTTTCAACTTTAATAACAATACCTTTTTTTTTATAATATTTTTCACCAAGTTTTAATGTCATTACTTTAACAATAATATCCTTTAAAATGAGAAATAAATAGTTTCTTTTTTTTTTCTAAATTAAAAATTCATTTACTTCATGTAACCAATAATCTTTACGATTTTTTTCTTCTTTCAATTTTTCTTCCATCTAAAATAAATTTTTTAATTTCTATATATAACGGGTGGATCGAAAGTTTTCGCACAAAATGTTTGTTCATTTTTGGCCTGCTTGAAAGTATTTCAGATGAGTTAAAAACTATGGGTTAAGACCAGAATTTTGTGCTCTTTCCGAATATGTGCTCATAAATTTTGTGTCTGTTTTTGCTCGAGAGTAATGAGGAAATCTTGGAAAGGCCTAAAAAATTGGTTTGGACGGCGAACAAACAGGTTTTTGCTAACCCTCATAAGTCTCTTTGCGAAGGTGCTAAAAATTGTCAGAGTCGGTAATTTTGTAGAGTGGACACTTCTTTACAAAATGTGATATCAAACTAAGCCGTAGCTTATACCCAAGTGAAGCTATTAGCATTTTCTCGGGAGCTACTTTCGATGTAAAACGCCCTTTCGTCAAAAAATCGATTCTTCAAAAATGAGGGTGATAGGAAAACGAAAATTTAGATGCCTTATCTGAAGACAAAAAGAAACTCAAATAGTCCATTTTGTAGAGCAGATTTTGCTCTACAAGCTGATATATCAACAAAAGTTCCAACTTTTGGTTTCGGATCCCAATACTGAAAATACGAAAATGTACGGAAAAAGTTTTCGTCCAAACTAATTTTTTAGGCCTTTCCAAGATTTCCTTATTACTCTCAAGCAAAAACAGACACAAAATTTATGAGCACAAAATTCTGGTCTTAACCCATAGTTTTTGACTCATCTGAAATACTTTCAAGCAGGCCAAAAATGAACAAACATTTTGTGCGAAAACTTTCGATCCACCCGTTATATGCACACAAAAATTAATTAAAAGAAAGTTACCTCTCGAACTTCTTCAAGTGCTGTTTTCTTTGATAATGGTTTCTTAAAAATAGATTCAACTGTATTTTCTATTTTAGATTTTTTCACATTCATTTCGTCAGTACTATTTGTTCGTTTTTTACTAACTGTTACAAGTACAGATGGACTACAAGGAAAAATTTCTATTGATAAAAATAAATAAAAACAAATCGTCTTACGGTAGAATTTTTTTCTTTTCAGCAACTACACTTTGATTAAATGAGACTTGAACTAAAAAACAAAAATACAATAGTGAAGAATGAAATAAATAATTTTACAATATACCTTTTTCTTCTTCATCTTTTCGTACAAATTCAGTATAGACTGGAGCAGGTACTTCAACACCTTTTTCTTTATCTCTTCTTATCTAAGTAGAAAAAATAAAATAAGGAAAATCAAAATTGTTCTTCTTAACTAACTTGTTCAGCAATTAAGTTTTGTCGGCGTTGTTCATCATCTAAATCCATTTTTTCTTTTCGTTCAGTTTCCATTTCACGTCTTACAGCATCAGGATCTTTATCAATTAATGTTATATACCATCCTCGTTCAGTTTGTTCAATTTCACAAAGACCTATATATTACATAAAATATATTGTATTAATCAATTTAAATTAATCATTTTACCTTGACTTCCAAGCCAACGAACATAACCTGCTAATGCTACCCAACGTGTAGCATTCATATGAATATGATTACGATCTTTAATATATTCACAATAAACTGTATTGGCTAGAACACGTTTTGTGCCGAATGAACGACGTAATGTGCTGAAAAAGTCACTATGAAATTCACTAAATACAAAAACAAAAAAACAGTTTTATTTTGATTTATGAAAAATCAAATATTGTTTTATTTACCGTGAATAATTTGCAATATGTTTACCAGGATTTTCGCCGACAAGTAATATTTGTCGTTGATGTGATTCACTTTGTATATGACATTTAAATCCATTCTATTGAAATAGATTAAAAAGAAAAAATGAACAATTCATTTTTAGTTTTTCTTTTATTAAATAATTGAATTCCATTTGATCATATAAATATAGTTTAAAAATCAATGTAAGATTAATTGAATAAGAATTTTCTTTCACAAAAAATGAAAATAATTCGAATGATATTTGTTAATACTAGAGAATAGAATTATTTTTTTGCTATGTAAGTTACAAATATTTACCTCATCTCGACATTGTTTTTGACAAGCTTGACAATACCATCGTAATTTTTGTAAACCTTTTGCTTTTATTCGATTACTAATGGCTTTTGGTGTTAAAAATCCACCATTTTTGCCCATGGCTGTATTTCAAATTATCTACAAAAAAATTTCTATTCTAATTCTCAAGAAGAATTATCTTTTCATTCAAAGATTTCAATCAAATATAAAATCTTATAGAAAAATAGATTAATTCTAATCTCACGAGATTTTATTATAATTTAGATCTTTGATTTAAAAAAATTATTTAATTGTGAATAATCTTTCATAAAAATACTAATAATGATGAATATATAGGAAATTTTTCTTGTAAATTATTAAACTTATTCAAGATGTTGCTTATATCTATTATATATTTATTCATTTTAATGAAATTAATTTAAAACTTAAATAATAATTTCGAAAAATATGACAATATTCACACTGTTCATAAATTGATATATTCGTTAATAATGTGCTATCTAATAAACAAATCGATGTATATGAAACACAATACAATAAACTAACAAAAATGATACAGTTGTCTGAATTACATCCTTCGTCACATATAAAAATTTCTTACTGATGAAAATAACGCTATAATATGGTAGAGTATGGAACTTTCTTGTTCTAATAGAAAACAATAATAAAAGATGTCACTGTTGTCGAACTTTTATTAAAATGTCAACCGATATCTTTTGAATAACTTTCAATCGTATATTGTGCTATCGAAGCCGAGTTTTCATCATTAGATAGAGCAATGTTGGAGACGTCTATCTATATAATATTCATTAGATTCAAAAGAAGTTCTTCATGAATATTTTTGGAAGTTGACATCTTTTTCGATATCCATTTCTATCACTTTTCGTAGCAACCTAGGCTCCAGTTACATCTACGACAAATTGTAGAAATGCACAATGAAAAACATGTCTACCTACAAATATCCATGAAAAACTTGTTTGAATCTAATGAATGTTATACGGATAGTCGTCTTCAACGTTGGTCTATCCTAATGATAAAAACTCGACTTCGATAGTACAATATACAATTGAAAGTTATTTTAAAGATGGTGGTTAACATTTTGTTGGAAGATCTTTCAATATGTGCGTTCAAAAGAATTCTATCATATTTTATTTTTGAACGATGAGCAAATTTTCGAAAGACACTAAAATATACTCTATTAAAACAGCTTGAAATGATTTCAGCAGAAGAAACTGATCTTACAAGATTTTTCGATGATCTCCTATGCGTATCATAGTATTTTATTGTTAGATTCACGGTTTAATTCTTCATGAATCTGGTAGCAAAGTATACAAGATTAGTTTAGATATTATGATGGAAACATTAAAAAAAAAACAACGTTAAACGAAATATCGGTAAAATTTCAATGTGAAAACAATGACGGATTTATATGAGTTTTTTGAACTTTTAATAGCGTCGTTTAATAAAAACATATGAAACGATGACAATAAAACATTTAGGATACTGCCGATATGAATACGCCAAGGTCCTTATGCACATAACATGTGGAAACGATGAGCATGGATATCGAACAAAACAAAAAGAACATTAATTTTAAATGATAAGTTTTTCTGTATAGTTTATCACAAAAGTAATACAATAAAATCACAAAAAAATTTTGCAGCAGCTATTTCAAGCTGATTTTTACAGAGCATATTTTAGGATCATTCAAAATTTTGCTCATTGTTCAAAAATAAAATATGATAGAATTCTTTTGAATGTACAGATAGAAAGACCATTCAATATAGATCCTCAATAGATAATCTTGATTTTTTTGAAGAACTTTTATAACACCCGTTATTTTCTGTCAAAAACGTACTTTTTTTTTAAATAAAAATATTAATTTCCAGTACTCAACAAAAAGATTGATGAAAAAAAATGTGAAATTCGTCAAAGAATATTTTTGATGGAAAACTTCCATTTAAAAAACTTACAAATAACTCATCATCTGATGCATCTTTTTTTCGTACTGATTCCAAATATATGTTTATTTTTCTCTTAAAGTAGTTATGAGACCAAAGAATGTGCAAGTCCTTAAAAACAAAGATCTTTGCAGAAAACCTACGGAGAGAATCGAACAAAACTTGTGCGACATACTGATTTCAACATCTCTAATGGCGTTTCAAGCAGTATCATGTTTCAACTGATCTCAATAAAAGTGCTTTCCATCTTAATTAATAAAAAGTTTGTCCTAATTACTACAGAAAAGAAAACGAACTGATATTTTAAAATTGAGAAATGTCTTTCATCCATTTACTGAAAAGAAAACTTATATTATTTGTCAATACTGTGATACATGAGTTTTCATAAGATAAAATTGTCATCAATTCGTAACACAAGTTATTATCCGTCTTTATTTTTATCTAACTGTAACAAATGAAATCGAACGAATTATCATTCATGCATTTCAATCTTATTCAAGACCTGAACAGTTCAAAATCAAAATTCTTTAAATAATCATTCATTAAATTATTATAAATGATGCGTCAGGTAACAATCGAAGGAAAACTAGGCTCCTTATTAAAACACATTTTTATTAATTTCCATTTCATTATATCATTTTTCTTTCTCACATTAATTGAACCTATTTCCATACATTATGCTGCATAAGTGTTTTTTTTTTGATAATATTCTATAAACAAATAAAAATACACATGAAATTGGGGGTAGTTATCTGAGTACTCTCGCTGACAAGGCGTACTCACTGAATGAGTATTTTTACTAGAACATGCTTTTAAACAAATTTATTTAGAAATTACTAAAGAGTTTTAATTCATTCTATCACAACAAAAAAGAAGAACATGCATATGTAATATTTTTGTTGTGATTCTTTTAAATATACAAAAAGTATTTTGCTAAAATTCATTGATTTCTACTTGAAACATGGTTTGTTGTATTAGAACATGTGCTTATTGATCATGAATCAATACTATTTTCAGTCCATTCTTGTAAAACTCGTCGAATTTATGCTTAAGCTATTAAAAATCGGTTCTATGACACTTGTTTTTGTGTAAAACTACCTTATCGAATCAAATAGGTGTATGGCAAAATTGATGTACGCAAAAGGAGTCATGTTCTATTCATACAATCGCGTACTAACATAACGAAAGCTAGAAGTACGTAATGGATCATTGCTTTTTCATCTCCTATTTAAATCGATCTTTTATAAATCTTTTTAATAAAACACATACATTATTAACTTATATTTATTTAACATTATCCTACATATTATCTGCATACGGGTAAATAAGTTTTGTGTTTTTTTTAGTTATTTAGAATAAATACTATGTATTTGTTGATCATTATTAAAGCTTTTTCTTAGTACCCAGGCCAAATAAGTGCCGTCGTAAAGGACTGTATACGAAGAAATAGGACCAAATACATGTTTCAATATTACGATAGTAAATCTCTGTGTCGTATATGGAGAAATACGGCGATATACGGACAAAAACACGGTTCTTTACGATCCACGTAAACGAAGTCCGTATACGGTCTCCGTTTTGCTCCGCATTTCTTCGTGAACAATCATATTTCACTGCATATGGCCACGGTGGTATATGATCGTAATATTGAGCCATGTATTACGGTAAAATATGGCCGTATACGATTGGAAACGACCGTGCGCAAGTCGTTTCTCTCCGTAAATCTCGTCCTGAGTGGACATCTATAGTCAACTTTATTAAAGATAACCATTATTTTATTATATAAAGAAGATCACCATCATTAAGCTCACTCTGATTGAAAACGAAGTAATTACTTCGAATTTCTGTTCTCAATAAGTTACAGTTCAAAATGAGTAGACATTCAAAAAAAGAATCTTTTGATTTCAAATAGGAATTCAGAACAATTTCAATCTTATTAAAAGATAAATGATAGAAGAGTGATAAGTAGAAAACAAATTAAATGAAGGGTTTATCTGAAAGAAATGAAAAAAATTGTAAAATTTTCTTTGATCTCGAAATACATTGATTGTTATAACATTCCTATGCCAAATTTATTTGGAATTTACTATTTCAAGTCGAAGTATGAGGCAGAAAACATATACGAAAATAGATCAATATAATGAGGATTTAATATCACAATATAACATGATTTGAATCTATAAATATTGATTCTGAATGAGATAATGAAGAATAGGATTTTATAACAATTCAAAAAAAAACACCATGCAATTCTGTAAAAACTCATATGATCTTTCAAGGTATTAGACATATTGAAATGCTAGAAATATAGCTCTTTAGATATACAATGAGCATACAAGTTTTAGAAGTTTTGGATTTATAGAAGCAGCCAATACCGACCAAAAAACATTCTTTTCGGCTGAAACTTTCAGGGTGTTCTACTAGTCATTCAAATTGTTTATAGGCGAAATCTCATATTGAAATATCATTATTTGATTTTTTGATAAATACCTAAAGCTAGATAAAAAATTCAGTAAAACAGTCAAAACTCGACTCCAAAAGCCGATGACCACAAACCTTTTTTAGAATTTTTCTAGTCTTGACAAGATCTTCTTGTATGAACCCAATATAAGCTCAGACGGTGAGTATCAGTTTGAGTAGTTTACTTGTAAAAATAGAGATGTAGAAGCATTACATGAAGGAAAAAGACAGACTACAATGTGTACATCGACATGACTATGAATCACTACTCTGTGAGGAAGCGTTTTACTCCTCTTATTAGGGAAATTTCACAGATGCTCTCTCCTGATTTCAATGATATTTTTACCTATAAATACTACATATCATTTAAGTGAAAACTCTTCATTAATATGAATTCCTATTGAGGCTTGACGAAACTATTGAATTTTTAATATGTCTACTTGTTAGACGCTCTGCAGGTTGTCAGATTTTCAAGAAAATCATGTTTTTGAATTTTATGTTGATACTATCTCCATTTGAAGACAAAATTCAAAAACACGATTTTTCCAAAAACTTAAGGTTCTATTGGAGTCTCTAGTAAATAGAGAAATCTATCCATCCTCTATAAGACTTCTTTATTGATATCTTTTAATCATTATATATTTAATGAAAAATTATTTGACTGTTATTTATTCTTCTATTTTATTGTATCTTTTTTCTGTTATTAGATATGCACTACTTAAGTTATTTATCGATCTTAATTGTTTCCAGTATTATAATGCTGAAAACATGCAATGGTGCAAAAGTAATCGTTCTTGATAAATTTCCTAGCGATCCAGAACAAGAAAATCGAGTGTTATTAAAGCCACTCAATAAACGGCTCGTAAGACGTCAAATTAGTAAGTAAAGTTATCATTAATTATTTCGTTTTAAGTAATTCGATAAAAAAATCACTGATGCAAAAAAGAAACAAATAAACAAATTAGTCTATATTAATTAGGAGAATAGAAGATTTCATTTGACAATTCTTTTTCACAATAATTGTTGAATGATATCAAAACAATATTTATACAAGACTAACCAAATTGATTTCTATTCATTTTCCTTGTTAAATGTGTTTTGAGTTAATTGACCTAATAAAGATTTGTAAAGCTTCGAACACCTCAATATTACAAAAAAATTAGTAGTCTACTGAAAACACATCAACGATTTGATGTGTAACTTCTATTTTGCCTAGTAAAAAATCTTAAGTGAATGAAACTGATTGATAAGATATAAAACCCTCCGAAAAATGCTGATATCTCTAAATGGAATATTTCGAAACAAGTAATGTTATTCTTGCCGAAAAGGTAACTATAAGTTGTCGATGATTTTTGACTAAAGAAAGAAACACAAGTAGGTTTCTAGAGAAAGATGTTCTCTACTTAATAGTGTGTGCATGAGAAAATCATACTGCATAGTGTTCATATGTTGATAGAGGTGACGTCACCTATGGACATGTCAATAGCACACGGCAGAACTTAATACTATGTATATTATAGGATACAGAAAGACTTTCTCTACCAATCTACTTATATTCTCTTCTCTAGTCAAAACTTTATAGTCATATTTCACTAGTCTAATATCAGAAATCAATGGCATTATATTAGATAAATTACATATTATCTCATATACTTAATATTAATCAAATGATTTACATATTTTTTTCAAAGTTTGTCCAAAGCCATATCATGTTTGGATTTCGGCTAATCAATGTGTTTGGAGTTGTGGTGAAGGTACTCAACCTGATACTACAACTAATGAATGTGTCTGTGAAAATGGATATTATGAGATAGGTACTGATGAATTTGGAAGAAGAATCTGTGCTAGTAAGTCTTAATATATAATAATGCATTATATAAATAATGAATTCTATGTTGGAGAGATAACTAATAGATTTTTGCAATAGATAAATAATTAATAGATAGATTGAAGTTTCATTTTGTTTTTACTAAATCTTTGATTGTAATATTAACATCAATGTATTAGTTTATCTTGCAGATTTGTTCTTGAAATGAATTTTGTCGTTCGATATAATAGGTAGACCGAAAATTTTCAGAAAAAATATTTGTTTATTTTTGGCTTCCTTGAAAGTGTTTTTAAGAAGTCAAAAGCTATGGTTTATAGCCAACACATTGTGCAATTTCTAAATATGGACTTAGAAATTTCATATGAGTTTTTTTATTGAGAGAAATAAAGTAATCTTTCAAAGATCCAAAGATTGAGTTTGGATAGAAAGTATAAGTCGAAGTTTCTCATGCAAATGATTGCTTATTGTTGATCTGATTGAAAGTATCTCAGAGAAGTCACAAGCTATGTATGATGATCAAAATTTTGTCCTCTCTTTGAATATGAGATTAGGAATATTGTGTCTATTTTTGTTCGCCAATAGTGAAGGAATAGTATTTTGAAAGCTTAAAAAATTCGATTGAATGATGAACCAATAGGTTTTTTCCTAATCCAATATATTGAACTAAGCTGTAGTGGTACTTTGCCAACAGCTCCTTTCTATACAAAATGCATTTTAGTCAAAAAGTCGATTTTTTCAAAAATGAAGATTTAAGAGAAAAACAAAAAAAACTTCAATAGCAATTTTTTTAAGGTAGCATGTGCTCTACAAGCTAATAAATTAATAAAGATGTCAACATTTACTTTTGAATTGTAATAATCAAAGTACAAAAATGTAATGAAAAAAATTTCTGTTGAAATTATGTTTTTGGATCTCTGAATAGATCATCTTATTGATCTCAAGAAAATTTCCTAAGCCTACATTGAGAAAGAGCACAAATTTCTAGTTATAATCCATAGATTTTGTTTTCTTGAAAACACTTTCAGGCTAATGAAAAATAAACAAACAAACATTCACTTGCAAAACTTTCGGCTCATTCATTATTTATGCAAAAAGAAAGCTAAGAAGCTTCTCATATATGTTGACTTCATATTTTAACACTTTTCTATCTTATTCTTATTGCTAATTCTTCTTTTTCTTTTTTTTAAAGAGTGTCCGGAACCATATCATGTTGTGACTTCGGATAAACGATGTGTTTGGAGTTGTGGTGAAGGTACTGAACCTGATAACACAACTAATGAATGTGTCTGTCAAAAGGGATATTATGAAACGGGTACTGATGGCTTTGGAAGAAGAATTTGTTCACCATTATAATGGTCAATTAGGAAATTTATAAATATTTTTAAGAACTGACAAAAAAATGTTTTTCTCTTTAAAAGGTCTATGCCAAATATGCATAGGATGTTCAAAAAGTTCTGAGGATAGTAATCTAATATTTTACATGCAAAATATTATATTACTATTCTCAAAACTTTTTGAACACCCTATGTAAATTATTGCTTCAACTGTTCTTTTTTTTTCAACGTATTCATCATTTAATACTTATATAACTCATATATTATACATGACTTCATTTTAACTTGACAATTTGTACTTTTTTTTTAAATATATACGTGCATTGAAATCTTTCTTTTCTGCGGAGTTGGAAAGAAACAACCATCGCGTAACGAAATTCTACTCTTTTATTGTTATTATCGTATGTTCACTATTGGAAAGTTATCTGGGAAAAGAGATAAACATTCGATTCTTTTTCTCTTCAGTCGAAAAGATTTACGATATCATCGATGCAAATTAGTCAACATTTTAGTGAAATAGCTTAGCTAAAATTGATCAATTGTTTGATTCTTTCTCTTGCTCTTCATTATAATTATTTGGTTTTTGACAAAATGAACTATGACACCTAAAAGAAAATAGAGTATTCAAAAGGCTTTTGAACTTTGATAGTTAATCGCTATTTCAATAGAGATTCATTAGGTGAAATTGCAAAATACATGAATATTCTACGTACAATGGTTCAGTACATTGTCAAGATATACAAAATCTACAAATGCATAAAAAGATTTTCTTGGTGGTGGAAGGAAGAGAGTTATGATAGAAAGAGTAGACGATTTTATACGAACAAATATTGATTTCTTAACGATGAAAATTATCTATATCACTAAAAGCTGAAATGAAATATCAATTAGGAATAACAATACCTACGACAACGATAAATTGTTGAACGAATGAAATTGGTTATTCGAGATTATTATTAATAAAGTAAAACATTTAAACTATGTAATAAAATATGTTGAAAAGAATTCTTGCTTTTGAAAGTAAAAATCATGTGATCTTATAATGCCAAATTTAATTTATTTGATCCCAGTTCCAAAGTAATATTTTAGATAAAAGTTAACGAAGAATACAATCTAGATTGTATATTACCAATAGCTAAATATCATGGAAATAATGTGAAAGTATGAAGTTGTTTCAGTCGAAAAGGAAGAGATAATCTAGTTGTTATCAATGAGACTTTAATAGGTGAAAAATACTAAACGATTTTGGAGGAAAATCTATTTCAATCAACTCGAAAATAGCGATTAGGATCAAATTTTATATTTCAACATGATAATGATCCTAAAGATCGAACATGAATTGTATCAGATTGGTTGGATGTGAAATGTCTCATCTAGCCATCAGCAAGCTCTCACGTCAATCCTAATTAACATCTATGAACCGAATCTGATTGACGAATTCGAAAATGTAGACGATCGAAAAATAAATATAAACGAAAATAAATATTGTTACCAGAATGGAATGAAATTGAAAACGATGTAATTGAAGCATTAGTTGAGAATCGTTTACAAGAAAGCATAAGCAAAGAGAGCTTTCCAGTTTGATACTAATAGAATTATAGAAGAAGAAAAAAATAAAAATTCATCATGTTTCTTTCCGCTTTTGATATTAGAAAAAAAGACATAATACTATTATTGGTTATATTTTTAACTATGCTCAATAGGAAGATTGAAATATGATTGAGAAGGTTGAACATGAAATTAATTCAATTTCGTTCTTTTCATAAAGTTGATGGGTTTTTCTTGTATGAAAGAGGTGAAGTGTACGAATAATTTTTAGCATCTTTGAACATACAGAGTGTTTCATAAGTCACTTGCAGAATGAAAACCAAAGAATAGTGATTGTATTTTGAACTATTCGATGAATTATTTAATAATTCAGTTTTATCTCATGAAAGTGAAGCTAAATTTGCAGATGTATGACTCACTGAAAGTGTATGGAGAATATTTAAAACAAAAGTACAAGGAGAACAATTTTCAAACTTTAAACAACTGAGAACTAGATTGAACAAAGAATGAAAGAAAGTAGCTTGTAATGATTGACAAAAATCCTAAGAGACTTTGTGAATTAATAAAAAGTAGTGGGCAATAAATAGGTGATAGTTAAATGAGATTTTTGTATGATCGGATTAATATAAGAGTTTTTTTTCGTTTGTTTTTGACAAAATATCTTGTTGATTAATCTCCAAAAATTTATTTTCACATTCTCATGTTTATATTGTTTATTATTAGAAGGCAAGATATTATCCAACAATATGCCATTTGAAAGATTTGATACGAGTATTTAAGGTTCAATTTAAAAGGTTGACTTGAAGATTGTTTTCTGTCTGTATATAAACTGATTTTATCGCATGTTAAGACTTATGAAACACTTTGTATCGTATGAATTGCAATATTTGTCGATAGCAAATCCATCATGCCATATCATTCGGCCACTTCAATTACAGAAAGAATTATCTAGAGATCCTACAAATTTATTGTACAAAAAAAAAGATCAGTTATACTGTCAGATTAGTCCTCAAATAGGAGGTCAATGGGTGGCGTGCACGGCATAAATTGTGACTTTTTTTAAACAAAATAGTGCGTATTATATATAGCATGACATTTAATATGTATATCATGATTATCTCCTGAACGGTAAGCTCTTTTGCGTTTAGTTTTCTACTATAATTAGATTATGATAAAAGAAAAAAATGAGCAGTAATTTGCAGTCAAACGTTCTAAGTTTCATCGAAATATTCATACGATACATAACGGAAAATAAGTATGTGAATAAACACTCGATTTTTTTTCTCCATAAAGATCAACGTGTAAATCTATCATCTTTGACCAAATTTATTCTGTACTAGACTCCCTTATTTAACGCAAAAATAAGGATTTTTATGTCTTCTCTGGAATGATCAAAATGGCATAGGTTATACTAACACATGATTTCTTCAAAGTGTTCATAACAGTGGCCGATTATTAAATGCTAGTTCACAGAATATTTTGAGCATAAACGAATTCCATATGCGAAAGGTTCACATTATTGTTGTTACAGACATCTATGAAAGTTTTCGAAAAGTCTCATTTGCTAAGTAGAAAGCTAGACAGACATGCAGAACAGAATGCCACTTTACGACATTTGAAAACTTTCAAATCCTATAGTTCTCTAACAGAATCAGACGGATGACTAATTTTTTTCTATGAATATGAAAAGCCATAAGGACATTGTGTAAAAACAAGTTGATCCAGATTAACTCAGAAAAATCAGAATTATATAAAAAAAAAAGCAAAAAATCGTTGAAACACAACGGTACAATGAGTATGCAATTTTATTCAAATATTTGTTTCGATTAAAATAAATTAAAATCTTTTTTTTTTATTTTCTCAAGTATTGATAGATTTTTATTTATGATCAATAATATAAAACAATATTCATTATGTATGAATTGTTTTTTTCAGAATCGATTTATTCAATAAAAAGAAATTCGTATTGTCCTAAGAAAGTATATAAAAATAAATAGCTTTTGTTTATAAATCATATTTTTGCATTTAATTTACTTTAAGTTGTTCAAATTTAACAATAGTTTCTCGATTAGTTTGACGAATACCGTCGTGTATGAATACAATTCTATCACATCTTTTTGTTGGTAAATTATCTGCTTCAATGCACTCTTTTTGTATTAATAATTTATTTTTGTTGCAAAAAATAAAAAGGAAGAAAATTGCGTTTTTGTCGTCGTTATTGTCGTTTTGATTGAAAGCAAAAAAATATAATATAATAGAAAAGGAAAAAAATATATGTCTATCATTCTTCATATATTATGATATAAACGAAAAACTTATTCGATCTGATCAAATAAATGTTGATTTTAGACCAATGGACAAACAATAATCATGTTAATCGCTAGAGAAAAGAAAAAGGTAAAAACCTAATTACAACGATACACATCAGTGCTTTCACATGTATCTGATACGTAGAAGCGCAAGGTTTGTTTTTTGTATTAATTAGATATTTATCAAAAAAAAAAAGAATTTATCTCGTTTTCATCCATGCATATTTACATAAGAATCTTGTAATAACATGAAAATGATAAGGGCTTTTAGGTTCAAAAACAAGTTTAATCAAGTCTGTTTGACACTAAGGTCAAAGTATGGATCATTGCATCGAATATTTTGTTATTTTGTGTAATAAAAATTTCTTTTTTATTTTGTAATTACAAATCAGCACGCAACGAATATGAAAGGCGTATATCGAATATGTCATATTTATTCATTGCTAAAGAAACAAAAAAAAAAGGAGTATAAAAAGTGTCACATTAGTAAACATATTTTGATTTTGATGTGATAGTTTTTCTTCTTCATTACAGTCAGTTATCGTATTGCAGGAGTATATTTTACGTTCTTTCAAATAAACATATTCTTCATAATGTATATTGTTCTTTTAGAAAAACAGAGATGAAGTTAATTTTCAACTAATTTTCAGTTTATTGATCGAATATTTTCATTTATATCACAAATCAAATTGAAGAAAACAAGTTTTTTATTTATTTATTTGAATGTCAATTTAAAACAAAAATAGATTAATAAGATTATTTAACATCATAAACAACGTAGGATAAGTATTAAAAGTCAATAGTTTTTCTTATTTTAATACAAATTAGACATATTATTCTTAATTTTTATATCATAGTTTTATATATTCATACTAATAAAATTAATGTTTATTAGATTAAGTATATTTTCAAATCAAAATCTTCATTTTAAATACCATAATAAAACAAAGATAAAACATTGCATATATTTATCATTTATTTTAAAAGATAACTATGCATAATTTAACATGATTTTCTACTTAGAATATAATGATTATATGCAATTATATTTCTTTTTTTATCCTTTTTTTTCTATTTTTCTGAGTATGTCAAGGTTTTATATTATTGAAATGTTAAGACATCATGTGACTAACATTTCATATAGAAACAAAAAATAATATCAAATCTAACACACATATATATATACATAATATTTCTATAAACGAGTTCATGTTTTAAGATAAAAACTTAAAGCAAGAATTTTGTTTATTAATATTTATAGATGATCTTATATAAAGAATTCTCCTATATTATATTTATACCGACATTGATTGCTTCACATTAAAATTGTATATAATAATATTGCGTCATTTTCTTTAACAAAAACGTAAGATATATACTGTTTGCATATATTAATACAAATAACACATCAGATAAATCCGAATCAATGAAGCGAATCCTAAGAAGGGATAGAGAAGCAGAAATAGAGCTGTTGTTTTATGCTCTTTTTTTTTTCTTTATTATATACCTTGATTAAAAATACCTGTACGGATAATTATAGTTGATAAGATGCACTTTAAAAGAAAAAATACGAGTGACTCTTTATACTTATTTATTTTATATTACTAATCTCTATATAAAATCAATCCTTCTAATAAGGTTTTTGATTATAGTTTCGATTTGTCAATGCATGATTGCTTATTTTCCTTTTACTATGTATTTTATCTTCGGCTTTTTTTCCCTGACTCTTACTATTGAAATATACAAGGAGCTTCATTATTATCGCTACTCTTACTTAACTTCTTTGATTATTGAACAAACACAAATACGACATAAGTAATTATTTCAACACGATTGCGTTTATCTACAATTAGTAATCAACGAACGACAATAATGTTTGAGAAAAGACTTGAACTATTTATCTAGTCTTTTCTTTTTCTATTTTATATTCTTTTGCTTTCTCTAGATTTTTCTCTTTTCTTCTTCGTTTTTTTTGCGACTCTTTTATCTTTCATTTGAAATATGAGAATATTAAAGAAAACATAGTTCATTATTATTATTATTATTATTTGGAGAATAATCTATTATCTATTTCTATACTTTGAATTGCCGTATATTTTATTAAACAATTCATATAGACTTTTTATACATTGTCTATTTGTGTGTTTTGTAGATTATATTTTCTTAATCTAGCCTTTTTTAAAAAAAACAATCATGGGTAATAATACTGGTGGACAAGGACTGAAAGTGGGCAAGACACTTACAGAATCTGATGTTGTTGAATTATCAGCTTTGTCTGGTTTTACACCAGAAAAAGTACGTGAATGGCATACAGGTTTCATGGTACGTATAAATTTACTGATGTTTTATATTGACAAATAATATTATGTTGATAGAAGCATAAGTATGTGTGTAGTTACAAATAGACATATTTTTCTTCCATCTAAGAATATTCAAACTAGTCTCATTAGATATCGATTGTGTCATAGGAAAACAAAAACAAAAGAGATTAAATGAGTTTATGTTTCTTAATATAAATGATCCCTTGTCGAATAGTATGTTTTCATATTGTTCTGTAATGTATATAAAAGAGAATAATTGAATGCATATTCTATCACGCATAATGATTCCTATTTCCGAGATCGTTTTTCTTTTTACTCTTAAGAGAAATTCTAAAGCAAATTACATGAAAACAAACCAAGAAAACTTGTCAGGTATAATTAATAAAAGTAAACTTGCATCCTTTAAGGAACATGTTAGCAACAATCATTTAATAAAGTAATTTATTTTATTTTATTATTTTTCTATTGTAGAAAGATTGTCCAACTGGAAAATTAAATAAGAAAAAATTTATCGAAGTTTATAAACAATTTTATCCAACGGGAAAAGCTGAAAAATTTTGTGAATATATTTTTCGTGCATTCGATAATGATAGTTCAGGCAGCATAGGTATGTAACAAATTTTTCTAATATATCTATTTCAAGAGAATAAAAAACTCTAACTAAAATTTCACAATTAATAAAACGAAAAAAACAAACATAAATTCGTGGATAAATAAATATGATTATTATTATTTATTTAGATTTTTGTGAATTTTTAATTGCTATTTCGATAACTGCTCAACAAGAACCAAAGAAAAAATTAGAATGGGCATTTTCAATGTATGGTATGTAGTTCGTTTTTTTTTTGAATTCTTGTTTTTTATTTAAAGTAAAAACAAAGAACAATATATTTTTTTCTTATTAATTAGATATTGATCGTAATGGTTTTATTGAAAAGAAAGAAATGAAAAAAATTATGGATGTAAGAATAACATTTCTTTCTATTCTTTGTTTTTTAAGCCCTTATTTTTTGTTATTTTCAAAGGCTATTTTTGATCTTCTTGGAGAAGAACGAAAAGGTTCAAATACACCACAGCTAAAAGTTGATCAAATATTTACAAGAATGGATGCAAATGGTGATGGAAAGTTATCAAAAGAAGAATTTATTAGTGGTTGTTTACAAGATGATTATTTAAGAAGATTACTTGCACCATCAGCTTCATAAATTAACTTAAATATATCCACCTAAATTATTCCTTATGATACTCAATTTAATTTTTTTTTGTGTTTTTTTTGTTCTCATACACGTGCTTACATAAAAACTAAAGCCAATACGAATTTATTTGAGAAGAATTCTTTTTTTTTTCTTAACAAGGCCATTGACATACGATGTTCTATGAATTAAATTTTATCTGAATAGTGTATCAATTGTGAAAGAAGCAAAAAAACAAGAAATCTGTATTCCGTAATACGACGGGATAACAAAACAATGAATAAGAATAGAGAAAATAAAAGTCATAATCTGATTTAAATTTTCATTTCATATATCCTTTTGTTTTATTTAGACAATGACAAAAAAAAGAAATCCCTTGATTTAACAATATTAATTGGAAGATTCTGAGAAATATAATTATGATTTTTTTTTATGTTTATCTTTACATGAAAATAAAACATCTTCTTTCATGATTGTTTCGATACCGGAAGAAAGTTTCTTTTTCTTGATAAATTCTAACTAATCGACGGATGTTAATTTAACGAACACGTAAATATTTAGATAAGCTAAACATGTGTCATACGTTATTAAAGTAATAATGCATACATCAGTAAGTTGCTGAGTACGATATAATCTGAAATATATGAAATGTTATATTTATTCACGACGTTAATATGTATTTGTCAAATTCTTCACAAAAAAAAACGAAGAAAAACAGTTTCATATATTAATTAAAGGTTTGCAAACGATAATTATCATGTGCGCATTTATATGATATATTTAATCAAGCGCATATTCGACATCCATTGTAAGAAAATTTTAATTCTTCACAGCAACTAATATATATAAATACATTTGAGATCAGAGATATCTTATCAAGAAAAGTATATCAATGAAAATGTTTGATTGACATTTTAAATCAATATATTCAAAAACAAAAAATGTTAAGCATTCGAATGATGAACTTATCAGATTTCAAAAGCTGTATAAAAAAAATTAATAAACGTCTTTATCTGTATTTCACGTCAAAACAACAAAAAACAAACAGAAATTTTTAATAAAATCATGTGTTTCATTTTTTTTTTTTTTATAAACATAAGTTTGAATTTCATCAAGAATGATCATCAATCAACATTCATACAAACATTTTCACATTATAAAACAAAAAAAAACGAAATGAAAGCGAATCTTGTTATGTCAATATGAGAAAAAAAGAAGCATGATCTGTAATCAATACGTAGTTAAAACAAACGGAAATAATCATATGAGAATACATAATATTATATGTAAATAAAAAAAAATTTTACGGTGAGGAACAAGAGATCAAGTGTCTTTCTTGACTAGTGTAGTATATAAAAAAAAGAAAGATATTCTTTTTATAATCATATATGGTTGAATAATGAAAATTACGTAATTTATATCGTCTCTACAGAACATTTATTTGAAGAGAATTAGTTCTGTATCAATTATTCAATGATTTTGTTGTTGGCATTAAAAGTTTACGTATATGTCGATCAATTTGACAAGCTTTTGCAAATTGATCTTTTCCCAAATATCCTAATGAATCACATTCAACTTTAGAAAATAATTCATGAACTTTTGTATCAATTCTTGATGGATCGCTAATGTCAACACCCATTAATTCATAAATTGACTAAAAAACAAAAAGAAAACTTTTTCATATGCATACAATAATTATTTGCATTTAGGATAAGTGGTACTCTTTTTTTTTTACTTCAATGACAGTCCTCACCTTCACACCTTGATGTCTATGTGTGAAGTACACCGATTAGTGTAATGACTGTGTTTGAAGTATAAAAAAAAAAGGACGTAATAAACATTTTAAAAAAAAAAAAGCATACTTCAAGAACAGATCTCATTTCATTTTGATCAATGAGGCCATTATGATCAATGTCATACATAGAGAAAAAAAGTTCAATTTTTCGTACTGGATCTTTGGATGCTGTTAAACTAACAGCAAAAAGAAATTCCATAAATTCTAAGAAAACAAATATATTTTATTTTTATTTGTTTGATGATCTAATAAAATATACCCATATGTCCTGAACCATCTTTATCAAATAATCGAAAGGCATGTTCACAAAATTTTGTAACATGACCTTTTTTATAAAATTGTTGATAAATATCAATAAATTTTTTTTTTGAAAGTTTACCATCAGGACAATCACGCTATGAAAAAAAAAACAAGTAAATTTTTTTTTCTTTATAATTATTTATGTATACATACAAGAAAATCTTCATACCATGCGAGTATATTTTCTCGAGTAAATCCTGTCTTCTTTATTAAATAGGTAATATCATCAGAACTAAGTCCATTTAGTGGTGTCTTACGTCGTCGACGATGAGATCTTTTTTTATGTAAGTTAATTCCATGATCTTGATCACTAATTCCTTCCGATGTACTGTCAACACTTTCATCTAAATTTGAAGGAATGGTTGGTTGATCAACGACGATTTGAATATCTTTCTGGATTTCTTTTGTATTATTATCATTAATTTCGAATATTTCTATAATATTTTTTTCTTGATAATGAGGTGCCTTCCATTGTCGAAAATATTGAACACCAATAAGACAGAGTGATGGTAAAAGTGTAAACATAATGCAGAAAAAAAATTGAAGAAATATTGTATATTCTTAATATTCTATCTGGAATTCATGTCTCGTGTCATATCGACATTGTTGTTGTTGCTCATGTATTGTTTAGTTTGGCAATGTAAGAAAAGAAAAAAAAGAAAGCTTTTTATGAGAACAGTTTGCCGTCTGTAAAGTTTTTTTTCTTTCTTTCTTTCTTTCAACAAAAAAAACTGACACTTATATGATGGTATTTAACTTTGATGTAGGTTGTCACAAAGCACATTGTAATTGCATCAAAATACATTCAGAGAAAAAAAGAAAGAAAGAAAGAAAGATGGAGTACATATATTTCTTCTTTTTCTTCTGATTAGAAAGAAGATGTTCGTTTTATGAATATAACATGTTAAAAAAGATGCCTCAAGTAATATGACTAAAAAAGAAAAAAAGAAGAACAACTAAAGCTAAATCAACATGTACAAAAGAGAAAAAAGTAGGGCTTGCTTTTGGTAAAATATATACTTTAAACGAGAAATTATTGTTTGTATTACTCTCCTTTTCTATTGGTGTGAATCAAATGTTTATACAAAATTGTATATAAATCAATTTAAATATATGTGTATGAAATGAAAAATTCAAGGTTATTATTGCCTACTGATTTTCACAAGATAAAGATTCATATGCTACTAGAAACAAATGATCGATATTATATGTCAAAAGAAAAATATACATATATTTTTATTTTGATGGAAAAGTAATGTTCTTTTCAGCAATAGAATTCAACATTTTTTTTTAATAAAAAAAAAAGAAAAAACTTTGACTTTTCTTGGTGAGTGCACCTTTTACGCCATTAAATTAATCCTATATATGTTTCTCTGTTAGTTTTAACACAGAAAATAGTCAATAGTTTACTTATCAGCTGTACGTCATTGCTATTGATGTGCATATTTGCACACAATCATACATGACATCAATTCATCAAGTCATTTTAGATGGACGTCTGTCTCAATTAAATTTACTTATCAATAGAATTGGCTGTAATGTAAACGAAAAAGATTCATACGGTCGAACACCACTTCATTTAGCTGTTCTCTCCGATCAAGAAAATTATGGTTATCGAGTAGCACGTTTACTTCTTCAAGGTAATGCTGATATAAATATAACTGATATTCAACAACAAACACCACTTGTTTATGCATGTTTACTTAATCGTTCAAGACTTGTAAAACTTTTTTTACAAACAAAATCTATTGATTGGAATATTATTGATTATGAAGGTTATTTAGTTTTACATCATGCAGCATCATCATCACAAACATCAATATTTGCAGATATAATTCATGAAATGAAATCAATTGGACTTTCAATTGATTGTAAAACTGAATTAAATTATACACCATTAATATTAGCTATAAAATCATTGCGATTTGATAATGCTATTTATTTACTTGATCATACTGATGCATCACCATTTGTGATTGATGATGAATATCATTTTACATGTCAACAATGGGCACAACATGTTGGACCAAAATTAAATGAACGAACATGTTATTATCCAAAACGAAATTCAATATTAAAAAGAAATAAAAGTCTAGATAAAAAGTACGTTCTATTCAAAAAAAAAAAAAATTCTTAATTTATTATTTTAGTATTCCAAATTATAAATTTTTTCATGGAATTGAATCACCTTATCAATGTAAAATGCTTCTATGTAATCATCATCATATGAAATCATTAGAAGAAAGTACTTATACACCATCTATTTTTTCACCACGTACTACAGATCGAAAATCATTAACATCATCATCTACGAATTGTCATACTGAAAAAATTAATTTCAAACCATCTTATCAAATGTGGATGGAACTTGTACAACGATTACATGATCGAATGTCATCGTTAAAACCTATTATAGATGAAGATAATCATTCTTTATTAGAAAAACGATTACGACGAGAAAAATCATGGGCTGGTCATGATACAATATCACCATGGCATAATGATAAACTTAATTCAAATAAACAAATTGTAACATTAATTAATCATTATTCAAAAATATTAACAACTGATAATAATAAACGATTAACATCAAGTTTTAATGATAGACCAAAAAGTATTTTACGTCCAAAAGGAACCACAAATAAATATCCATTTACAAAAGAAGTTACATTTGCTACTAATTAATTATATTTTGTAATTTTTCTCGAATTAAATAAAAATATGATGAAAAGGAGTTTAAAAGTTATAAGAATTTTGAAATAATTATTTAATTATATTTTGAAGTTTACTTTAACAATCGATATGTGTTTAGATTATTATTCTACATATAAACAATAATAAGTTGAGATTATATACGGTTGTCCGGAAAGTCTGTACAACTCATATTCTATGAAACCTTATGATAACAAATGTTGCTTGCATCTATTCAAACATTTCTAATATCATAAGTAGTTTGCGTGATTGTTGATGACATGTGCTTACTAGCAAAGGTCATTACACTGAATAAATGCAGTACTTGTTATTGTACGGTTTCATAGAATATGAGTTGCATGGACTTTTCGGGTAACCGTAAATGTATTTTGTTCAATAGAATAAATATTTCTATTATATTTTTTTTACTTCTGGGGCGTAGAGACATTAAATGATTAATGAAATTTTTTGAAAAAGTTTTCTTTTTTTGATAAAGTATTTTATTCACACGAGCAAGGAATCGATGCGGACGATTTTTAAACACAATAGTGCATTGCACCACATGTGTGTTTTATAATTATGATATAAGAGTTTAATGTATGGTTATACGCACTAATAAAATTGAAAGTTAAATTTATTGTCTAAATAGTATCTTTTTGACAAAACATCAACTAACGTTTTATTACTATTAGTTTTGCTGTTCATATTGATATTATTAAAGCGGAAATGAAACAGACAACAGATCTTATCAAGTACAAGAAAAATGATTAGAATTGACTTAAACTAAAGAAGATAGATGGAGAACCTTATAATGGCTTCAAAAACAAAAGACTTCACTCGATCTATATTTCCAATTAACAATAATAGAATAGTCAGAAAAATTGAAATATATAAACTACAAAAATCGTTGATTTTCTTAGCAGTAAAAGAAAAAATTTTAGTTTTTCATTTATTCTGTTTAATGTAACTTAATTTTGTGAACTCTTGTCTAAATTTATTAGTTTATCTTGTTTATAAAATCTAGGCCACCATAGCTGAATGATTACGTTGCTCCGCATGTGCTCAACACATATTGTGTCCAAACTTCAATACTACCAGCAACAAAATGATTCTGGACATGTCACTAATGGCTACTTGTCTCGGATCACTCGTCAGATTGTATGCTGACTACGTTGTAACACATGCGGGCTCTGGTAGATAGTATGTGATTCGTCAATGTGTAGGAGGAGCTCAAGCGGTTGAGCGTACGCTGTGCCAGGCTGCTCTTCTGTCTAGAGCTACAATTAGTATTAATTGAATGAAAGGTATTAGATTAATTAATCTACTGCTAGGCAGCACTCCACGCCGCAAGGTGAGTTCATAGAGAATTTGATTTTGCGGTGATTCCAGTAAAAAAGAAATGGCTGCAAAAAGTACATCGATAGAAACGGTATAAGCGATCATCCACTGGTATAGCAGTGTATTACTATACTGATTTTATCGCTGCACTACTAACAATTTTAGATATTGATTTTGTTACAAAAAGAATTTTTTGAAGGAAATCATTTTGGCATTAGATCAAACTCCCTACTACATGCATAGCAATATTTTTCCTTCCTTATAAGACTTTATTCCCATTATGAATATTTTTCTAAGAGAAGATTTTTTAAACTCAATTCGTGCATTCTAAACTCCAGTAAATTATATTCTGTGATAGAAGAGAAGTGTTACTAAGGTGTTTGGCATGTCTATCAATGAAGTACAAAAAAAAAATGTCTTATTCTCAAACATCACTCAACAGAGACAACCATCCTCAATCTAAAGATAGTTGTGCATTATCATCTATCATTAAAATACAATTATTCAACATTACGTGATTCTATAGTATGTCTATCATTGATATTTACTTGAAATCTTATCTTATTTTTCATTGTTTATTGTTTAATAAAATATAAGAAAAAAAAAGCATAGTATACATCATAAAGAAGATTGCAATGCTTTTGACGTCATATAAAAATTTTTTTAGGATATCTCTGCTTTTAAAAGTCTACAATGTCAAACTAACGTTTAGAATAATCTTCAAATATGTTCTTTCTATTCTATTGAAATTTCAAAAATAAGATAAATATTATTATCTTATATTTTGTTAAATTTATTACCAGATTACACATAAATTTCAAAAATTTTCCTCATACAAATTTTACATCCTATTTATAGATTTTTATTAATCAATGATTTTTCTATTATTATTCATGATATTTAAGTTGAATTTTGTCGTCTGTGTAATTATTTGATCTATTTGCTTCATTTACTATTAATCAATATTCTTTATGCCTCGAATCATATGTATTTAATTCGTTCATTTCAAATATTCCAAGTAAAACAAAAAAGAAATAAGAATTTAGTTATAATATGTATTTTCTGTATGTTAAGTTAATGATTAAAAATACAAATAAATTATCTTTTTTACGAGATATACGAAAATAAAAAAATATTTTTGAATATTTTATCAATGAAAATTATTGATAAACTATTTTCTATAACATAACTATAAGACCATCAATATTAATATCAAATAAATTGATGTAGTCGGTCTTCTTATATTTTCATTAAAACTCTTTTAAGTTATTTTGATGAGACATTCATTATCAAAAACATAAGATTACACATAAATCATCTTGTCAAAACAGTTTCTCGTTGTTTGTAATGGATGACATTAATGATAAATTCATCGTTCAACAACATAATCTTATCAATACACACAAAGATACTATCAAGTTCTTGAACATAGTGGAATCATTTCCATAGGGAAAGAAAACAAGGTCAATCGTCGATCTCAATGATGAGTAGAACGT